TGGTTGGAGATTCATCAGATAATGAATTAATTAATGATGACCCCAACAGCCTCCCACCGCCTCCCAATTTTGTAAAAACCTCCTTTAGTAATTTTCATGAAAATTAAACACATAGGGAGCGCTGAAACCCGATTATGGTTATTATGGCTATTATGGTTGGAGTATTGTTATTATGGTTAATATGGCTTTTTAGTACCAACCATGAATGTTTCTAGTTCCTATGAATGTAATTTAACTCTCACGACATCAAAATTTGAGTTATTAGGGTGTCAAGTATACTTTGTGGTTCGATATAAAAATTATGACTTTTTTGGCTTATATTATTACAATATAATACATTATTTATTATATTTAGCCAATAATAATATATTGAGAGCACTAGAAAATTAATTAAATTGACAAATAAAAATGATAAAGGCTCAAAAATAGTTTCTCACAACATCACTGGCCAAGAGGATTTGGCGAAGTTTCGATTGAAAAAAGTCATCAAAAACTGTAATGAATTGTTTCTGAATGATTCTGAGATTGTCAGTTGGGTTTCATTGTGTAAAGTTTTTACCGTCGCTAAGAAAAAGTTCATAAATGATAAAGTTAATATAATCATTACCACCTCCTCTTTAATTTGGTACCATTTATTTGAAATTTAGAGCTACTTCGCAAAGTAGGAAGGCCAAACAAAGATTACAGTAGTAGATACAGTGAAGTACGTGAAGTTGAAAGTGAAAGTTGAAACTTTTTGCTGTAAACTGTAACAAATGTAGATTCGAAAAGTAAATATTACTTTTTACTTTCTTCTTCATTTGTCACCTGTTTACAAATCGTGGCAAAATGAATCACAAGAATCAACGAGTTAATTTTTCCTTTCGTTAAAAACATAATATTTTCAACTTCATACCAGGGTTTTGAAGAGTCAAAAAATGACGGAATTTGGCCTCAAAGTTGTTGAAAAAGATACAATTTGCCTAATATAACTCAACATAGATCGATTGAAAGGTTCAGGTCATTATTGAAACAAAATTTCACGGACATTGGGTGGCAGACCAAATTTTTCATCAATTCAGAATCGATTTTTTAGAAAAACACTTCTATTTCGAATATTGAAAAAGGATTTTGGCACAATAAAAGATCGGGATTTTATCAACAGTAGAGAAATGACCTTCTGATCTTATCGATTCGGAATAATATTCGAAGTCGAAGTCCGTTTTCCTAAGAATTCAATTTAGAGTTCATGAAAAATCGAGTTTGCATCAAATGTCCGTGAAATCTAGTTCCGATGGTGACCTGAATCTTACAATCGATCTGTTTAGAGTCATATTAGGCGAATTACATCTTTTTCAGCAACCTTGAGGTCAAATTTGGCCATTTTTCAAGTCTGCAAAATCCTGGTTGGAAGTTGAAAATATAAGGTTTTTGACGAAAGGCAAAATCAGATTTTGACGCCTTTGTCCATTTAAGGCCACAGCTTGGCGATTTTTGATCGAAATCGGTTTATTTTTGTACAAAATATTTTTGAAAAGTGTACCAACATTTAAATGTTTAAATGGTGCCTGTAAGTCTAGTCTAACTGTCTCAATTGATGGTGAAAAATTTGTCCAAAACTTTACCAGTCATACCTTATTTATTATTTGTTGTAATAAATTGTTAACCTTTATTCGTAGTGGATTTGCTCGACTTAATTAACTTAAACTATTCAAGAAAAACCATGAAAAGATACTTAAAGTCAGGATAGACAAGATAAGAGCGGATAATAATTAGTGAACAGTTTAATTATTGATATGCAAATTGTAAATCAAAGTTAGACTTTCTGGATAAAAGATGGCAGGCAATACAGCTCGTATTTTGTATGTTAAGGTTTATGTTGCCCTCTGTTGTTAGCTTTTCTTACATTCAATGTAGAAAATTGAATCAACTTTCGATTCAAATTCAATTGTTGATCAGCTAATTAAAGATTGATTTCAATTGTTCCAAAAACAGGTAATTTTCTGTTTGTATTGAATTTATATTTTAATTTTCAACAATCTTCAACATTTTTGTTTTCTTGACACGTTATCTGTTTCTTGATCTATGATTGTTCCTTTCTATTAATAATAGTTTTCCTCCAACTGTTTCTTTTTGTTTATCGCTTGTTTTTCGTCGTCTTATTGTTATCTTCTTGGAATCAGCTTGAAATTTGTCATGCAGCAAATTTATTTCAACCGGATACGTAAGCCTTCGCCAGTAAAGGATAAGATGGGAAATTCTGACCTATCAAGTAAATCATCGACACCTTGCTCATCAACATCTACTCTTAAAGTATTACGGCAATCTTTTAATTGCTTCTCAGCTAGCTCGTCTCAAGATGAAGACAGATAAACAAGAAAATTATCATCTGTTTGGCTGCTGGTTTTGTTGGTACTTTTCTTCTGCTTTTGTGTTTTATTCAGTGCCTCTGCTTGATTGTCAATTTTGATACTTGACTCGTTTTTAGCTGCATTTCTTCATCTCAACGGTGACTGCTTGTTTCATCTGTTTAATCCATTTGTCTTTTTTCCACACTGAATCAGTATTGATCTCAATTATAAGCTAATAATCTTTATCATTTAATAGCTTAACCGATTATTTCAACTGCTTGTACTAGTTAAAGATGTACGACACTTACACCATTTCCAACAAACGAGGATCACTTAAAGCATCCTTAATCAGTGTTGGAGCTTCGATTAAAAATCTATATGTAGTCGATAAAAACGGCGAGGAAAGAGATATTGTCCTTGGCTTACCACAACCAAGCGATTACATTGACAAGAATGTACCTTACTTTGGGTGTGTAGTTGGCCGAGTTGCTGGCAGGTAAGCTAAATTGAATCCATCTTTCTAATGATATTAGCTGTTTGTTTATTTCTGAATTATTTTACTAATTTATGCGCCTAATTTTGTCATTATTCCAATAGAATCAGAAATGCGTCTTTTAAAATTGATGGCAAGAGCTACTCGCTGGAGGCTAACAACGGTCCTAATTGCTTGCATGGAGGAAAAGTTTCTTTTAGCCACCGCCCTTGGACTGTAGAAAATCAAACCGCAAGCTCAATTAAATTTTCGATTCTTTCCCCGAACGGTGATTGTGGTTTCCCAGGGACTCTAAAAGTATCCATTGAATATGCGGTAAATGACTCTGAGGAGCTGTCATTAAATTATGAGGCTCAATTGATCAATGATGACGAAGAAAAGGATATTGCAGCAACAATCGTTAATCTTACAAATCACACTTATTTCAATTTGAGTGGATTCAAAGACCTTAATGATTTAACAGTTGTCAACCATATTGTACAAACTGATTGTAACCGAGTCTTGGAAAAAGATGACTCATTGACAGCAAATGGAAAAATCATAAATGTTGAAGATAATCCTGCTCTCAATTTTACCAAAGCCAAAAAGATTGGTGACTTCATTGAACAAATTGGTGGTTATGATGATTGTTATCTGGTTCCAGGTTATAAAGAGGACGATCCAAAGAGTGAATCACAATGTATTCCTGCCATCAGTGTTTCATGTCCAAGTTCAGGAATAAAAATGACAATGTCTACTACTGAGCCAGCCTTCCAATTTTACACAGGAAATTTTCTTAATCCTTCAATCCCAACCAAAAGCTATCCACACCAGAGTGACATTCAATATGATAAACATTATGGTTTCTGTTTGGAGGCTCAACGTCCACCAAATGCTATAAACATTCCTGGATGGGAGAAATACGTTATTTTGCGTCGAAATCAAACTTATAAACAAACAACTGTTTATGCATTTAAAAACGATGATAACTAATGTTGGTAATCCGATAAAATGGATATGATGATTAATCAAAGCTATATTTGGATGATTGGTTTCTACTTTTATATTACTCAAGCCTGTTGATTCTCAACGAGAAATAATTTTCGTACTCAAATGGATTGGTACAAAAATTATCTCCATCTAAATGAAAACAACAAAACTTGCTTATCATAAATTATCATAACAATAGCGTTTAATGAAATATTTATTTCTTCAACCTTTCAATGCATTTTATGATTTGTTATGATATCCTGAACCTTGCTATAAAACAGTTTTATTGAAGTTTCTGTGAATTTCAATCAAAGAAAAAGATGGAAATGATAATGATAAGGAAAATATAAATGTACTCACTTGTTTTTATTTTTTGTGTAGGTTTATAATTTTTGGTGGCTTTCAATTTATTTTATCATTTCCTTTCAATAAATGATGTACTCTAGCTTTCATTTTTGATTGATTTTTGTTACATTGACTGAAAACCATTATTATTATCAATTATTATTAAAATTCAAGGCTAAATCAAATCAGCATTAAGATGGATGTTTGACAGTCGAAGAGATATTCATGTGAACAGTGAAAAGACTTAAGATTCAATTTAATTGAAAATTTGACTCATTTTATTCGAACAGTTTTAAGTTACTTTCGATTATTTTCAATGAAATTTTCTATTTTTCGGACAACATTCTCTTTGTTTTTCGGTGACTTCATAGAAGCAGATATTTTGGCAATTTTCTCAGCATATGATGGGTTCGATAATGTTTCTTCGATAGTGTTTAAAACTTTAACTTCATCAATTTCATAAAGATTGATTCGAGAACCAATTCCACAATCAACTGCTCGTTGAGCATTATCGGGTTGATCCATGAAAAAAGGAACCACAATCAAAGGTTTTCCAGCATAAATTGTTTCCAAAAATGTATTGTTCCCACCATGAGTAATGACCAAATCAACAACCTCAAGAATACCTATTTGATTGACATAATTTTCACCCCACATGTTTGATCCCAATTCAAACTGATCTCCTTTAGGACCTTTAGAGACGATGAAACGATGAGGACTTTTTGACAAGATTTTAATGAAACTTTTCATCAAATCTATTTGAATTGACCCTAATGAACCCAATGAAAAGTAAATCAATTTTCCTGGCAAATGCTTCAATGATTCAGGGATAATAAATGGTTCCACATTGTCTGGTTCGCGAATGGCACAATCTAGTCGAATCCATTTATCAGACCTTATTGGACCAATTTCATGGTAATCTAAAAGTTCGGGGTAATGATAAATACCAAGTTGTTCAGGTTCAGCATTAAACCAATTCTCGATTCTTGTATCTTGCATAGCAGGCAAAGGTGTTCCATTAGATCTCCACCAAGAATATAAATTTTCACGAATAGCTCTTAAAGCTACTCCACTCAGTTCTCGAAATTTATCCCACTTTTCAGTGTCTTTTTCCTTCACTGAAAAACCTGACCAT